CGCCAGAGGGCGGGAGAGCAGCAAGGAAATTCACCTGCTCCCAGGGCCTCAGGTTGGCCCCTGGCGGGCTGGAGTCAGGCAAAGCTGCGGATTCTTTGCCACCGCAGGGAGGGACGAACTGGACCTGCAGCCTCTGCTTTCCCTGCCTCACTCCTTCCCAGAGGGCAGGCTGCTACACTGAGGACTTGCACCAGGCCCCTGGAGCTCAGGTGGACACCACACCTGTTCCACACAGCACCCAGTCGGCTGAGGAAGGGAGGATGCTTGTATCATCAGCAGGGTCTTACCCCCCCACTCAGAAACTGTTCTCAACTCCAGCCAAAACCTTATGGTTGGTCTTGCCACCGCTTTACAACCTGACCTAGACTTGATACAACTTTGAAACTTTCCTGCACCGAAGAAAAGTTGCTGTGACTGGAACTGAAACAAGCCGTTTCCTTACTTTGTCAAATCTTTTGTTTAAAACTTTCCCTTTATTGCTGCAGTAGTTTAGGTTTAACACAGCACTGGGCCGTGTGTGGGCGTGCTGCCTCCTGCATACTGCCAGTTCCCAGAGGTGTGTCGGTTGATTGGTCAGTTTGTCCCTCTGGTGTTCATAACTCTGAAGTTCTGCAGTAAATCTATTTAATCAAGTATCAGAGGGGTAGCCGTGTTAGTCTGAATCTGCAAAAGCGACGAAGAGTCCTGTGGCACCTTATAGACTAACTGAAGTGTAGGAGCATAAGCTTTCGTGGGCAAAGACCCACTTCGTCAGATGCATCTGACGAAGTGGGTCTTTGCCCACGAAAGCTTATGCTCCTACACTTCAGTTAGTCTATAAGGTGCCACAGGACTCTTCGTCTATTTAATCAAGGCGCTAGACTTCAGCCTTTAAGGCATTAGTTGTAGAGCTTAAGGCAGTGGTGGGCAATCGGGAGCCTGCGGGTTGCATGTGGCTATCAGGGTTCTGTGTGTGCCCCACGACACATTTTGTTTACCGTTGCCCCTTGTGCAGGGTGCCACACTCTGCTGATGTCCATTTGCAAAGTTTTTTTTCCCCCAGCAGTGTTAGTCAAGCAAGAGTGTGAATGCTAATTACACACAACATTGGGAGAGCTGTGTGCGCCCCATGCATCCAATCAAAATGCTGCTACAGGTCAACCGGCACACCCTGCAAATCCTATGTACGCAAGTGCAGTGAGCAAAACTACCCTATCTGAGGAGACTACCTGGTTATGACAATCTTGCAGCCCATGGAGGCTCACTCATGTGGCTCACTCACTAGCCTAGGTTGCTCATCACCAGTTTAAAGACAGGTGGGGTCTTCCAATTACTGACCCTCCAAACTCGGAAACTGTTCCCAACTCCAGCCAAAACCTTATGGTTGGACCCCTATATCTCAATCCATCAACCCCAGCCAGCACCTGCACACCAAGCTCAACAACCAGCATTAGCACAAAACATCACAGCCCACAGGGGACTAAGCTATTATATTCCACACGCAGAGACTCAAAGGGACTGAGAGACATCATGAGAGTAGACATAAACCGTGGTGTGATTTGCAGCTGACAGGCATAGGAACTAGGGCTAAGAGATGAAGGTGACAACTTAAACATCATGGGCAGAGCTGGAATTGACAGTGAGATCCCCTGGGCAGAACATGACGGAGCAGTAGAGCAGAGGATGCTGGCACTAGACGTTGGAGGTTGAATATGAAATGTAGTGGAGCCCGGGGCACTGGAGAGCTGAGAACAACAGAGCAGTTTTCAGGAAAGAGTTCAAGAAGGAAGTGGCAGTGAACGACCAAAAGTAAGTTTGGTATCTTCTCTAGTACCAAAACTAGAGAAGATTGCTTGAGTCCTTTGAAAGAATTAAAAGCAGAGCTCCTCCAGACTCTTGCTAAGGTGAGAGCAGGATGCTCTGGGTGCTCTCTATTTTTCTGATCAGATGGGCTTCACCTTCAGCTTTAAATATGCAAAGACACCAAGAGAGCAAACAGTTCTCTTGGACTGAAAACAACTGAGATTTATTTTGAAAAGTCTCAGGGGGAAGCCGTGTTAGTCTGTTGAAAAACAACAACTTTGACACCTTAGAGAACTAACAAAAACATATATAGTAGCACGAGCTTTCGTGGGTAAAACCCACCTCATCAGATTTATTTTGAAGACCATCTTGCTGTTGTCCATACATTCAGACTCAGCACTTTGTTTCAGAAAAAGCATCAATGGCAAAGAACCCCCTAGGAGTTGATTACCCAAGACACACCGGCTGTGTCTAGACTGGCCACTTGAATTTCCGGAAAATCATCTGCTTTTCCGGAAAAACTTGCCAGCTGTCTACACTGGCCGCTTGAATTTCCGGAAGAGCACTGACGATCTCATGTAAAATCATTAGTGCTTTTCTGGAAAAACTATGCTGCTCCCGTTTGGGCAAAAGGGCCAGTGTAGACAGCATAGTTCTGTTTTCAGCAAAAAAGCCCCGATCGCGAAAAAGGCCATCGGGGCTCTTTTGCAGAAAACCGCGTCTAGATTGGCCACGGACGCTTTTCTGCAAAAAGTGCTTTTGCGGAAAAGCATCCTGCCAATCTAGACGTGCTTTTCCGAAAATGCTTTTAATGGAAAACTTTTCCGTTAAAAGCATTTTTGGAAATTCATGCAGTGTAGATGTAGCCACCAACACCTATCCTTCCCACTTTATAACAATTCATTCCATAGCACTGGAAAAGTTGGATTGATCTAAGCAACAGCTCCTGTAAAAGCTGCCATTAGCCATTTTTGTAGTGGCTGCAGTGTACTTGGGATGTGGGGGAATTTGACATACACAATTAATTGTGTGAGTGGGATTTTTAAAAGCATGGAATACACTGGGAGCACAAATTTCACTGAACACTGGCACTTATTTCTGTTAAAAAAAGGGCTTGGAAGTCACCTTGGGAAGGAAGACACCCACAGCAGCTGTGGACTGTCCTGCAGATGGTTTCAACCCTTGGGTGAGGCAGAACAGTCAGAGAAGGAGGTAGAATATTGTAGTGTACAAGCTATAACAATTAAGAGGAAGAAATAAGATCAAATGTGAAGGGCTATTTTGGTGTGTTAAGCTGTCCACAGCTCGGACGCATTTAGTTTTGATGCTTCCCTCTACACCTGTCTGCAGCCAGGCAAAGCAATCGATGCATGGACCACCACAGGCACGCAGCTCTTAAGGCTAACACTGAGCATCCCTCCTCCCCCACGTCAGTTCAGTGTGTTTCACAAATGAGGCAAGAGCGGTAGGTGCAGACAGTCACTTTGGTTAGTGAGTTTCCTGCATGTACAGCCAGATGAGCTGTATGTTCGCTTTGAGCGTGGGACAGTGTGTTGAGGTAGGCGCGGAGAGGCAAGAACCCTTCTTTGGGTGGGTCTGGCAGGGACGAGAGGGACTAAAAACTTACAGGGAAGTTCTGTTCTTTCCCAGGATGGATAGAACTGGCTGCAATAGCTCAGCTGGAACATTTCAGGGCTCTTCCTGAATTCTCTTTGGTTCTTCAGCCACCATCTGCTCCGAGGTATTGGTCATCTCCTCTATAGCTTTTTTCAGTGTCTTCATTGACTCCTTTGGTGCTTTAGGTACCTCCTCCTTCAATGACACAGCCATCTCTTCCTCCGAGGCCTTAGGAACCGTCGCTACCCTCTTCCGTGCTGCAGACACCACTTGCACTGCGGGCGATCTCTCCATCATCGTCATTTCTTTCGGCTCCTTTGTGGCTTCTTGGGTGGCACTGACCAATGGCGTGAAGGGACCTATGAGCCAATTGAGGGGAGTGTTGTGCGATAAGTACTCCAGTAGGGCATCCAGAGATTCCTGGGCCCTGGTCACTTTCTCCCGGCTCTGAGCCAGGGAGCTGCTGGAGAGGTCCTGGAAGGAATCTGCTCTGGAGAAGGAGGCGTGGAGTTGCTGCACGTTGTTAACAACAAGCTGCACCGTGTCCTGTATGCTGCTGGGGAGGCCTTGGATGCTGGAAGCCAGGCTCTCGCAGGCAGGGTGCAGCTGCTGGGTGATGAGCCGCATCATGGCTAGGGTATGAGACTCCACCTGTTGGGAGGAGACACGTGGGTGAGACAGTGTGAAAGTAGCATCCAGTGCACCAGCCAAGTGCTGCCCACAAGGGGTACCTCTGTCTGGGAGGAAGCATCTTTAGCCGGGCTCCCTCTTGGCTGGGTCCAGTTCCACTCCATCCACAGCTGCCGAAGCTTCTCCTGGCTATCTAGAAGCTTCTGGCCAACGCCCTGTTTTACGTATTCAATCTGGCAAGGAGAGAAGAAGGATCATGACAGATACCTGTGCCCATCAACCACCAGGCCCTCTTATGCCAGGAGGTCATTGGAACAGGGAGCATACAATATGACAGCCCCATGACAGCCCCATACAATATGATGGGGACTAATTTAACTACAGCTACTCAAGAGAGATCTTGGAGTCATTGTGGATCATTCTCTGAAGACGTCCACTCAGTGTGCAGCGGCAGTCAAAAAAAGCAAACAATGTTAGGAATCATTTTCTATCCCATTTTTAAAGACAGAGAATATCTTATTGCTTCCATGTAAATTCATGGTACACCCACATCGGGAATACTGCAGTATAGATGTGGTCGCCTCATCTTTTAAAAATAAATAAATAAATAAATAAAGGATACCTTGGCATTGGAAAAGGTTCAGAAAAGAGCAACAAAAATGATTAGGAGCTTGAAAGGGGTCCCATATAAAGAGAGATTAAAAAGACTTGGACTTTTCAGCTTAGAAAAGAGGAGACTAAGGGGGGATGGGATAGAGCCGTGGTCCCCAACACGGTGCCCGCGGGCGCCATGGCGCCCACGGGGGCACTTGCATGCGCCCGCCGGGTGCTCGGGGCTGGCCTGGCCCCGGGCACATGGCGCGGCGCTTGCGGGGAGCATCGGCCCCGGGCGCGCGGCGCTTGCGGGGGGGAGAAAGGGACGAGATTAAGACAGAGAATATCTTAATGCCTCTATACAAATCCATGGTACACTGATATTTTAAATACTGTATGCTGATGTGGTCACCTTATCTCAGAAAAGATATATGGTCATTGGAAAAAGTTCAGAAAAGGGCAACAAAATGGTTAGAGGTTTGGAACGGCTGCTATATGAGGAGAGATTAATAAGACTGGAACTTTTTCAGCTTGGAAAAAGATACAATTAAGGGGGTATGGGATAGAGGTCTATAAAATCATGACAAGTGTGGAAAAAGTGAATAAAGAAAAGCTATTTACATATTCCCACAATATAAGAACTAGGGGACACCAAATGAAATTAAGAGGCAGCAGGTTTAAAAAACAAACAGGAAGTTTTTTCTTCATGCAGGGCACAGTCAACCTGTGGAACTCCTTGCCAGAGGATGTGGTGAAGACTAGGACTTTAATAGGGTTCAAAAAAGAGCTAGATAGATTCATGGAGGTTAGGTCCATCAATAGCTATTAGCCAGGATGGGTGGGAATGGTGTCCCCAGCCTCTGTTTGTCTGGAAATGGGTGACAGGAGAGGGATCATGTGAGGACTACCTGTTGTGTTCCCTAATTCTAGCCACCGTCGGCAGACAGGATTCTGGGCTAGATGGACCGTTGGTCTGACCCAGTATGGCCGTCGTAATGTTCCTATATGTTCTTAAGCAGGCAGTCCCTCACCAAGGAGACTACTGCACCTCAAGCAGAAACAGATGTCGGCAGGCGTGACACAAGAGGGCCCCCCGGAGCAGAGCGATTTAGCACTCGGGTGGAAGGCTTTGCACAGCCAGGCTGTGGAAGGGGGCGTCCTTACAAGGGTTATTGCCAGCTGCAGTTGCGAAAGAGTTTCCTGGGTGTTTTGCTTGACAAGCCGCAGCTTGTGCAGGGAATGCTGGTAGGCTCGGTGGCGGACTTTGCTTGAGAGGGAGCCCAGGCGCACGAAGTAACTCCGCCGCTGTGTCTGCTCTTCCACAGATGCCGCATCGAACCCCTCAACGGCGACGGCAAGTTTAACTGAAGGGAACAATAGGACAAGGCTGAGGTTGTCAGCAGGGAGCTAACTCCTCCTCCCCCCTCGCACTGCTCCTCTTGGGCCCATTGCACAAGGATCACTGACAGGCCGCCTAGCCCCAGCGCAACCTTACGGGCCCCTCTCCTTAGGATCATAGAACCCCAGGGCAGGAAGAGCCTCAGGAGTCGTCGAGTCCAGCCCCCTGCCCAGAGCAGGACCAACCCCAACTAAACCATCCCAGCCAGGACTTAAAAACCTCTTACGATGGAGATTCCACTCCCTCCCTAGGGAACCCATCCCAGTTCTTCACCCCCCTCCCAGGGAAATAGTGTTTCCTGATATCCCACCTAGACCTCCCCCACTGTAATTTGAGACCGTTGCTCCTTGTTCTGGCATCTCTCACTGCAAAGAGCAGCCTCTCTCCATCCTCTTGGGAACCCTCCTTCAGGAAGTTGAAGGCTGCTCCCAAATCCCCCCCCTCACTCTTCTCTTCTGCAGACTAAACAGACCCAACTCCCTCAGCCTCTCCTCGTGGGTCACGCACTCCAGTCCCCTAATCATTTTGGTCGCCCTTCGCTGGACCCTCTCGAATGCATCCACATCCTTTCTATAGTGGGGGCCCAGAACTGGACGCAATACTCCAGATGTGGCCTCATCAGTGCCGAATAAAGGGGAATAATCACTTCTCTAGATCTGCTGGAAATGCTCCTCCTAATGCATCCTAATATGTCATTAACTTTCTTGGATACAAGGGCCCACTGTTGACTCATCTCCAGCTTCTCATCCATTGTAATCCCCAGGTCCTTTTCTGATGAACTGCTGCTTAGCCAGTCGGTCCCCAGCCTGTAGCAATCCTTGGGATTCTTCCATCCCAAGTGCAGGACTCCACGATTGTTCATGTTAAACCTCAGATTTCTTTTGGCCCAATCCTCCAATTTGTCTGGGTCACTCTGGACCCTATCCCTGCCCTCCAACGTACATACCCCAAGACAGGAGAAGGCCTCAACCACCTAGCAACAGCAATAGTCCCTGAGCTTGGAGGGAAGAGATGGAAGAGGACTACATTTTCTATGGGTAGCGTGTCTAAGCACTCTCTCACCCAGTTCCTCATTTGTCATGGGGAGGTAGTGATCCACCAGCGCCTCCGATTTCTCCAGCACGACATCCACTCCACTCGCCACCATCTGCCCGGCTGCCCGGGCTTTCTTTATGCTGTTAGTCACCACGGAGCTGGTCATCTCCACGCCATCCTGGACAGCTTCTCTGCTCCGCCCTACAGCTGTATTCACTTTGCTGGTCACTATATTCTTTGCACCACAGGCAGCTTCCTTGGCTGTATTGACTGTGGAGGACACCACTGATTTGGTCAACTCAACGCTTTCCTGGACAACGTCTTTGGTAGCGTCTACAGCTCCCACCACTCTGCTGGCCACGGCATTTTTTGCACCATAGGCAACATCCACAGCACTCATGACTGTGGTAGAGACCATCTGCTTGGTGTCTGAAATGACCTACGGAGGAGAGCCAGAGGAAAGATTATTTTACACTCACTGAAAGATTGAGGTTTGGTTTTTTTCCCCCCAGTGGGGAGATACCAGATACCCCTTCCTTCTCCCCAGGGCCTGGTCTAGATAAATATTTTCATGGCTCTATAATATCGTTCATTAGTTCCCAAAGCTGTAGGGTCAGCTGTTCATGCAGCATGAAATGGTGCAGCTCCATAGACATCCATGCCACTTACCGCTGAGAATTTGGCTCTTAGCTTCACTGTCAACTGGGCTAGAACAAGAGCTACAAAGCAAAGAGTTCACACTGCTCCATTTCTCCCTCTAAGCCAGAGTTTCCCAACCTATGGGTCGGGACCCAAATACACCATTACATTTCTAAAGAGTCGCCTAGTGTCTCCCCAGGTGGCTCTGCCCCAGTTTGTGAATTGCCTGGGGTCACCAAGTCTTCCTGAATTGTCAAAATGGGTCCCCATCTGGAAAAGGTTGGGAACCGCTGCTCTAAGCTAAGCGTTGCAGCCCATGTGTTTCCCAAGGCTCCCTATCCCTGAACAAGTTGTAGCTTCCCGTCCAGCTGCAGAGATGCCGACCTTCTCTGTTGGCTGTTGAAGGAAGGGAAGGCTCTCTTCCAGTTTGTCCAGTCCCTTGCATGCATACTTGTTGACTGACGTGACTAGAGAAAGGGAGATGCACAGAGTTAGTTCTCTCGATCTCTTTCTGTTTTACTCCTCCCCGCAGCGGCAAAGCCTCGCAGGAGGCCAGCACGGCCTGGATAAGAGCTTCCCAAAGGCAATGAAGTTAAACCAAGCTAGGCCTGTGGCACAGTTCTAGAGCAGTGTTTCCCAACTTTTTTTTTTTTTAAGTACCCCTTAAAAAAAATGTACCCCCAATACCTACAGTTTTCAGACACACAAAATTGTTTTCTACCATTGCAACATGTTTGTTTAAACAACTTAATCATAGCCAGGCAGGTGATGAAATTTTTGGGTGTAAAAAGTACAAAAATAATTAAGCGCTATAAAACTTAAAACAAAATCCAGTTTTCTCCAAATTTCACTTGTCGATGCCTCCCCAGACTTCTCTCGAGAACCCCTGGTTGAGAAACTGTTCTAGAGAACAGTGCATGTGTTGCTGCACGATGTGGGTTTGAGTAGCCTTGTGGTCGTGCCCTTTGGGAACCAGGCAGAAGGTTGCGCCATGCAGAGCCTAATAATTCTCTATTGGAAGGGGCAGCTTCAATGCTTTGCTGCAGCCACTTCTGAGCCGTAACAACTGGAAGGAAGGAATTCTGCCTAGTCCCCCAGCTGAAGCTTGAAGGCTAGGAAGGAAGCCTCAGGGTATGGGGGAAAGAATGGAATAGCTGGATTGGAGGCAGCACGGACTCTGATTTAATACCAGGCCCCAGTCCTAAGCTGGGAGAAATGCCTGGCTTCCTAAGACAACATGCATGTCAAGCCAGTCAGAGAACACAGAGTGGCTGCAAAGGGTGAGATTCAGTCTCATTGGAGGCAGTGGCAAAGTCTTCCATTATTTTCAGCAGGCCCGGGATCTGGCAGAATACACGGGCAGCAGGGTGGAGGAGTCAGCACCACGGTTAACCAAAGACGATACGTGGAGAAGCTGTCGGTTACTTGGGGTCTGCGCCAAGCAAGTCCAGCTAAGGTGGACGGAAAATGTGGCTGCGAGAGGAGACAGACTCAAAATTGCCAGCTGGAAGGGACTTGGAGAGGTCATCAAGTCCAACCCCCTACGCTGAGGTAGGACCAAGTAGATGCAGACCATCCCTGATAGAGGTTTGTCCAACCTGTTCTTAAAAACCTCCAATGACGGGGATTCCCCCACCTCCCTTGTAAACCTATTGCAGAGCTTAACTATTCTAGCTGAAAAGCTTTTCCCAATATCTAACCTTAATCTCCCTCGCTACCGATTAAACTCGTTACTTCTTGTCCGACCTTCACTGGAGAGCAATTGATGATAGTCCTCTTTCTCACAGAAGACTTATCAGGTCATGTCCTCCCCCCCTCCCCATCTTCTTTTCTCAAGACTAAACACACCCAGTTTTTTGACTTTTCCCCAGAGGTCGGGTTTTCTAAGACTTCTATCACTGAGTTTTGCTCCCCTCTGCATTCTTTCCCGTGTGTCCACGTCTTTTCTACAGTGTGACACTCAGAACTGGACACAGAACTCCCCGGTGGCTTTACCAGTGCAGGGTACAGAAGGACAATTACTTCCCAGCCTGTGTCTTACATAGGACAGCCCTATTAATACCTCAGCATGATAGTAGATGTTTTTGCAACTGCCTCACACTGTCAATTTGAGCTTCACTATAACCCTCCGATCCTTTTTGCAGGGCTACCATTTTGCTGGTCATCCTCCATTTTGTAGTTTTGCATTTGAATTTCCTTCTGAAGTGTCAAGTATCAGAGGGGTCGCCATGTTAGTCTGAATCTGCAAAAGCGGCGAGGAGTCCTGTGGCACCTTATAGACTAACTGCAGTGTAGGAGCATAAGCTTTCGTGGGCAAAGACCCACTTTGTCAGATGCATGCCTGAAGTGTGGTACTTTGCACTTGCCTTTATTTAATTTCCTCTGGTTGATTTCAGACCAATTTGTAAAGGTCAGTGCAAATTTTACTCCTGTCCTCTGAAGTGCTCGCAACCCCTCCCAACTCGGAGAATGACGTCTGTGCTTGTAAAATGTGTGGAAGACAGCAAGCCATTAACGGCAACATTGAATAGCGCTGGACCTAGAGCTGACCACTAGAAATGCCCTCCCAGTGTGACAACAAACCACTGAGAACGACTCTTTGCAGGCCCATCAATATGGGGAAGGGAAAAGGGGCAGTTGCCCTGGGTCCCAGCCATTCAAAGGGCCCAGGGTTCAAGGTCTGGGGCCATGGCATGGAGAGCTGACTGCCCCCCCCCCCTGCCCAAGGCTCTGACTCTTTGGGAATTCAGAGCTGCTCCCCATACCTCGCCCAGGGGCCCGCGCAGAGCATCAGCACTCCTGACTCAGAGTACGATCTCTCAACGCGTTCTGTCCCCTTCTTGTAATGATTTCATCTAGACCACATTTCCCTACTCTCCTTATTTATATGATGCCTACAGCGTCTCCCCATCCCTTAGGCTACTAAGGCCACTAACCCTGTCAAAGGAGGAAATAAGGTTGGCGCGGCACGCTGGTTATTCTTTATAACATTCCTTTGCGGCTTGGAAGTAACTCAGTTGCTAATTGAGGGGCACCCATGGTAGGAAGGAATTGAACTCAAAGCTGTTTTTTCTTTTCTTGCCCCATATTGGGCATCACAACCATGCCCGAATCCCACACTGAATACTCGCAGCAGCTGGGGCATTCACGCCATGGGCCTCCTGAACTGGGATGGGAGGAGAAAGCTGCTCTCGCGTTAAACAAGACTTTCCTGCTGGTCTGTCCTGAGCCCTCCTGCTCGGCTGCCTTGACAGTCTAGGCTAAGATGCCCCAGAAGGATTCTCCCCCCCTCCCCACCAGAATTGCCTGAGAACTCACTCTGAGGTTCAAGGTGGCTTAGAATCGGCTGCACGCCACCGACGGCGCTGCCCACTGCCATGGCAGCCACCGTCTCTGCCACGCTGCAGATGCTGTTGACGTACGGATGGGTCCCCTTGGTGTAGCTGTAAGCAGAGGAGACCAGGTTGTAGGCAGAGCTGATAAGGGGCAAGCCGGCCACCCTGTTCACTACATTCTAAGCAAGGGAAAGAAGAAGTAACATTAGTGGCAGAACCTCTGACGGGTGGGTAAATATAAACCGTCCTCTGAACTAGACATATTCCTCTTGATGGAAACCACTCTGTCCGCTCTCTGCTCCAGTGCCACAGTAGAGAGGTTAAGGGACCTTCTCAGGGCCACACCAGGAGTCAGTGGCAGAGCAGAGATTAGCACTCAGGACCATGCTTCTTGTCCATTCCTACCCGGATTTAGCACTGGAACCCACTGCAGATGATTGTACCAATTTTCAGCCTTATGGCGCTTCCCCCATGTCATGTTATTGCCTTCTCCTGAAACTAGAGACCCGCAGCCTGTGTGACTGGACTCCTCTTTTGCCTGGATGTCAGGGTGCTGGCACGAGTCAACGTGCTGAAGCACCTGTTGGCAGGTGAGCTGATGTTTACGCTTTATAGCCCTAGCTGCTTGGGATGCACCTACCACTTGCTGCTCTTCCTCAGCGTTTGGAGGGTCCGTAGTTATGACCTTGTTTTCAGATGCCATTGTGGAGCCAAATGCCACTGAAAAGGGGAGAAGAAGAACAGTTACAACAGTGAGAGTTGGCTTCCAGCAAGCACAGTCAGGGGAGGGGGACATGACCCCTGGCTGGGGCAGGCCCAAGTTCGTCCGCCCCCTAGACAGAGGAGAAATGTAGCAAACGGTGCACTTTCCCTCCCACTGAAATTGTGTGAATACATTAATTTCTTAGACTTGAGCACTGGTGTCCCAGTGAGATGAGCTGGGGCAGTTTTTACTACTACAGCTATCTAGAAGACAGATATTTCTACCTCGGTTACATGTTTGACATGTCCTCTCTGCAGCCATAAGGTCTGGATGCTTGATTAAAGGCAACATCTAGACCGCAGCGCTTTCTAAAGTGTTTTGTAAAAAACGCGGACGTGATCTTTCACCATCCCTGTAAACCTCATTCTACAAGGAAGAAAGGTTGTGTCGAAAGAGGAGGTCTTTCTGGAATCTGGCACCCTGTAGACGCGCCAAATTTCGGAAAAGCCTCTTTCAACAGAAAAGATACGGAAATTGCGGTTTGCAATTTATGTATCTTTTTCCAACTTACCCTTGTAGTCTAGACGTAGCCAAAAGCTTGCACCATGTGGAAGAGGATGGTTTGCTTTACTGTTTGTTGTCCCACCTCTTACTATAATTAAGCTTGGCAGAATTTATAGTTTTTTTTATAATTTTTATTTAAGCATTTTTTTTATTGTTATCAATTTACATCTTCACAGTTGTGGGAGATGATGGGAGTTCAGAGTAATTATTTAATGAGACCGCTTTGAAAACTTAAAGCTTTATAACTTAAAATGCAAACTGGCAACATCACATCAAAACATATCAAGTAAATAGTTAGGAGTGCTGTGGCAACTTACTTTGTCACATCTGACAAAGCAGTTTTTACCCACAAAAGCTTAATCTCCAAATAAATCGGTTAGTCTTTAAGGTGCCAAGGACGCCTCATTTTTACTGATACAGACTAACCCAACTACCCCTCTGAAAGTAAATAGCCTTAAATCAAACCAATATATTCTCACACAGCACTACCCCGCTCTTGCCTATCTGTAAGTTCTGAGGATCATCGATGGAAATAGGTTTTGTATGCACAGGGTGGAGTTGATGTTTATCAACATTTACCAATAAAAATTGAATCCTTCCAAGCCTAAGCCGGCTGCGGCAGCTGGTGCCCCAGCTGGAAGGCGCGATCGGCGCCGGCCGTCAATGGCCATGACGTCATCATAGGGTACCAGGGCCGGCGGCGCCCTAGGCAACTGCCTAGTCTGCCTAGGCTCACGGGCCGCCCCTGAGAGACGAGAATTAATCCAATCTTGACAGTGACTGTTGCAAGAGAGAAACTGCACCTCCCCATGCAATGAGTGGGGAAGTCAGGTTTTCAGAGTTCTAATTTTGGAACCCTGGTTTGCTCAAATGATATTATGACAACGGGGTTTAAAGTTCTATTTTTAAGCCAATTGCACTTGCTTAACAGCAGCTTTGAAAAACTCAGATTCTCCCCCCATGCCGCACTAATTCTGACGTTAAGATGGGTTTCCCCATGTCTCGGTCTGTTTCCCAACAGGATGTTACCAGGGTGCTTGCAGATGCAAAACGTTAACTCCCACGAGAGACAGACACAAGGGCCAATTGCCGAAAAGAGACACTGACAGGCACCTCCCACCATTAACCATATTATGAACTAGCAATGGCGATAGCCATGTTTGTTTCAAGGCAAGGCCTCTGCTCTTGAGGTATCTCTTACCGCACCTCTGCCCACCTGCTTGGGATGCTTTATCACATTTCCCATCATTGCGAAAACCAATTCAGCTTTACCAGCAACAGCAATGTTGGAAGTCTTGGGGGTGGGGAACGGGGTTGAAAGGGAAGGGGCATATTCTGCACCCAGGCCCCAAATCAGGAGAATACTTAAATGCATGCATCAAATTAAGCTCATCCTCAAGTTCCACTGATGTCAATCTGACTTAACTGTACTTAAATGCTGCCCTTAACTGCAACCTTGGAGCTTGCAGACTGGAACCATGGGCCGGGGCCTTCAGCCTCTCTGGAACCTGCCTTCAGGAAGTTGGCAAAAGGTTGTTCACGGTAGTGATGGATGGCAGAACAAGGAGCAATGGTCTCAAGTTGCGGTGGGAGAGGTCTAGGTTGGATATTAGGAAAAACTATTTCCCTAGGAGGGTGGTGAAGCACTGGGGTGGGTTCCCTAGGGAAGTAGTGGAGTCTCCATCCCTAGAGGTGTTTAAGTCCCAGCTTGACAAAGCCCTGGCTGGGTTGATCTAATTGGGATTGGTCCTGCCGTGGGCAGGGGGCTAGACTGAATGGCCTTCTAAGGCCTCTTCCAGCTCTAGGATTCTATGATGGGCTCTGGCAGCTGCATACACAGGAGTAAAAATCTGGCTGTTTTTGGAGAGGTACTTTGTGTGTCCTGCACGGCTGGAGGAGCAGCCTCCCTCCACCCCCATGGCTGGAGGAACTGGTGCTCCCCACTGTGGCAGATGGGGCTGGCTCTCCCCGTCCTCCACTGCCCCGGTGCCAGAGGAGGTCTGTGCCCCCAGTGATTGGGGTGGGGGATTGTGCCTTTGCTTGTCCCCCTCCACGCATGCCCCTGGCCTGTGGCTTCCAAATCTAACAGCCATAGTGTATGTGGGCTTCTGTCTGCTTTGGCATTTTATCTCCACGCCAGCTATGTCGGCTTTGAACTGAGTTATGTGGAATGATGAAGCCTTTGAGCTACAGACCGTGTTTTGCGTATGTACAGCACCTGACACAACGATCCTGAAATGGGCCCGGTTAGGTCCCACAGCCATACGAATACTAAGTGCGAACCCTGGGGTCAGCGTCTGGTGAGCTGTCTCCACCCACCCAGCTCTGTGAGGCTTCGGTCTGCGTGTGTACAGAACCCAGTGTAACCGGGGGCCTGAATAGGGGGGCCCCTTAGGCACTGCCACAGTCTGAACACCTACCCTGGCAAAAGTGCCCCAGAGTCTGTCTGCACTGCTGGGCCAGGTGATCAGCACTAGCCCATCACACAGAAAAGCCCAGCCCTATTCCTGAGCCCTCCTCAATGGTGCCGTGCTGCCTCGTGTGCACCCCTAGGCCTTCCAGGGGCATCTCCCATAAGTCTCTGCACCACACGAAGCTGAGCCGTGCTAAGATGCTTTCCCGGCACAGTGCGGGAGAACGTGTTTGTCCTTCAGGGGATGCTGGGCAGGGGACGGTGAGAAAACGCTGGAGGACTGTCGGCACTCACGTGCCTTAGCCTGCGTCATCACCACAAAGCGGCTAGTTACCAGCCCCAGGGGAAGCAGGACCCGAGTGCTCTTCGGGTATGTCTACACTTGCAGCCTCTTTTGAGAGAGGGATGCAAACGAAGACATTCGAAATTGCAAATGAAGCCGGGATTTAAATAGCGCCATAACGCAACTATGCAAATGAAGTATGGGGTATTTCGAAATTATAGACGCTGTGTAGACGAGAAGGGTTTTCTCTCGAAATAATCGCGTCTACACAGCATCTGTTATTTCGAAATAGCGCCATAACGCAACTATGCAAATGAAGCATGGGATATTTAAATCCCGGCTTCATTTGCAATTTCGAATGTCTTCGTTTGCATCCCTCTCTCGAAAGAGGCTGCAAGTGTAGACATACCCTAAGGTAACTGGAACTCCAAGACCAGCAAGAGATGCTGCAGAAACAAAAGTGCATTTTCAAGATTGGAACCAAGCACTGACTGTGGGCAGGAGCTGCCGTGCCTGGTGTTGGATGGGCTGCGTGCTCTGGGGCGGGGGTGGAGTGGGGTGTGTGCGTCAGACACATGCTGCGCACTGACTTGCCTTCGATCACAAACCAGCCTCCTGAAAGTGTAAGAGGAATAGCCTAGTGCATGCTGTGAGTTGCCCTCGTGATTCCTGGTGTTGGGCCTCCACCATGCCCAAGCCCTGCCCACAGTAGAGAAACTTTCCACAAATTGCCCAGGCTGGCTACAATGGAGGTATGTCTTCACCACAGCCCTCACCAGGGTGTTGCCCATCCACACACAGGCTACGTCTAGACTACAAGCCTCTTCAAAAGAGAGCATCTAGACGGCAACCACTTATTTCAAAAAAGCGAGTCGCTTTTTCGAAAGAGAGCACCCAGGCAGCCTGGATGCTCTCTCTCTCTCTCAAAAAAAGAGGCATTATTCCTCGTAAAATGAGGTTTACCACAGTTGAAAAAACCGCCGTGTTCGTTCAATTTCATTTCGAAAGCACACGGTGGCAGTCTAGACGCAGGGGAAGTTTTTTCGAAAAAAGGCCACTTTAAAAAAAACCAACCCTGTAGTCTAGACACACCCACAATCCTCTCACCCCAGCGGGATGTTGTTGTCTACCCGGGCAAACTGGCCGACCTGGGGGATGGGTTAGACCAGGGTGGGCAATATGCAGCCCTTGCACCAGATACGGTTCACCAGGCTTAGCCCCTGGCAGGGTGCCAGATGCTTTATTTACTTGAGAACACAGAGTGCGGCCGCTCACAGCGGTGGCCTGGCCCGCAGTGCTTCCTGCTGCCCTGCCCAGCAGGTTCCTCAGCCAGGCAGGGGCCATGGATGCAGCTCTGAAGGCTGCGAGCCTGGAAGGGGGAGGAATACTTTGTGTGATGCCTGGCCTGCAAAGAGGCAGCTCCCATTAGCCAGAAATCAGCCAATGGGAGCTGCAAGATTGTGCTGGGGGAAAGGGCAGTGGGCAAAGCCCCTCCTCCCCCTCCCTGAGATACAAAAACTGCTCTGAGCAGCGTGGAGCGGTGGGGCAGGCAGGGAACTGGGCTGAGGCTCCTGCTACACCTGAAGACGGGATCTGGCAGCGTGGCGGGCCGAGGCCGCATTTTGCCTGCCCCTGCTCTGGTGTTAAAACCTTGCATCGTAAGATTGTCTCCTAAACAGCATGTCAACACCTCAGCCCCTGGGCAGCCCGAAGAACAACCAAGGGTCTGAATTGCTTCTTACTCTTGCTGGTGAAAA